TGAACTGAAATTGCTGGAGCAGGAATTGGCTGTCCAAGTACCTGCACTGTTTTTATTTTAATTTCTTATTTTAATGAGATACATTTACAGACTTACAGACTTTCATGACTGCGTTTCAGTCAAACGATGTTCAAGTACCCAAGTACCCATCCCTCCACCAGTGCCCATTCTCCACCACCAATGTTTCCAGTATTCCTCCCCCTCCACCCCCACCCTTTACCACCTCCTACATCTGTGGCAGGCACAATCTCTCTTACTTTCTCTGTCCTTTTGGGTGTTAAATACCTGCACTCTTGACCCTCATGCAGGTCAGTGGACACCTGGTGCAGATAGAGTAGGTTCTGGTTGATGTTGTTGTTTTCCAAAATTAAGGCAATATCCGTGGCTTGCAGGCCACTCCTTCCACTCTGACTCTCTTGAAGCCCCATATAGATCTGTGGTTGCATCAACTTTACTGTGTGATCCTGAGCCTCATATGACAGCTGCTGGAGGTAATGGGAGAAGTTTTTCAAGTTTATTTCTTCCCAGCTTCATAGACCATGAGAGGTACTTGTAGAATACTTGGAACTCCATGTTGATCTGTTTATGGCAGACATGAATAGGGTCATAGTTTAGGAGAAACTGAGTCAGCGGTAAAGTAGCCATGACTGAAGACCCCGGCACAGTGGGGAATACTATATGACCTATCAGGAAGGAAGTGGCTGCATCTGTCCCTGGTGAAAGCTTTGTAACACACAGGTTAAGTGTGTGAGCACCTCTTTTATATTGTGAGTAGGGTGCCTTAGAATGTCAGGGATGAGGTATGTATATCTGCGACTGGATGTTGCTGAGCTGTCTGAAAGTGGTGTATTGTCTGAAGGTAGTACATCATCTGTGTTTTGGGTTCAAGTGGCTTGTGTTACCTTTTCAGTTTTGTATAAAACCATGTTTCCCTTAAAACTGCATATGTATATATATATACACACACACACGTATACATATGTATATATGTACACACAGGTGGTTTTATTAAATTTCTCTTCAACTTGTATTACACGTAGACTTATTTGGTTGTAGGGGTGTTTGGGTTATATCCCATGATGCTCTTGGATCTGTACAGGAGTTTTCGGATTGGGGACTTTCCCTTTATCCTGGACCCCGTTAAGTTAATCCGCACCCAATCAGGTCTTTTCAATTATTTTCCACAGGTAATTGAAATTTAATTTTTCTGTAATGATTTTCACTTCCGTTCTATGCACAGGCCCACACATTTACCAGGATCCCAGACTACCCACCCATATTACATTTTTGTCTCTAAGTGAAGGTTAAACTGTTCTTTCTTTTCTTTTCTTTTTCTGTTTTAGTTTTTTGGCCACCCAATAGTACCATGGCTTACTCCTGGCTCAGTGCTGTGGGATCAGTCCTAGCAGACTCTCAGGGGATCAGATGGGATGTCAGAAATCAACTCTAGGTCAGTCGTGTGCAAGGTAAATGCTCTAACTGATGTGATATTACTGTCCCCTATACTAGTGCTTTCCAGAGTGCCAGACATAAACTTCTTACCCTGGGATACTAAGCTGCCTGATAATAGGTATGTGAGTATGGTTAAGACTCCCAGGATATCAATTTTAAAACTTTAAGTTAAAGGGAAGAGTTTATACAACACTCAGTGAAATTTATTTTGGAAACAAATAACTTTACTGGAAGAAGGTGTGAAACTCCATCAAATAATTGACTAGAAGGTCTGACACAAGAAAAACTGCAACAAACATGTCCAGAACAATGACGAGGGAAGTCCCGTAAAACCCCAGTCTATGGGGAAAGCAATCAAGATTGAGTCCATTTTGTCACCATCATGCAGGACCATGTTGTCAAAGAGGTATTCATTTCAGGCCCCCATCATATACAGGGTGGAGACAAGATCCGCCAGATACATTAGATATACTACTTGATTAGATATACAGCTACTTGAGACCCTGGTCTTGCTGAGGCAGATCACAGCCCTGGTGGCTCTCCTGCATATTGGTGGCCAGCTGGTTCAGATGACGCAGGCTGTCGTTGATGATCTTGTGCAAAATCAAGGCAAAGTCCATGGCATTCAGGTAGCCCTCCCAGGCGTCTTTGTGGGGATTCTGGATGTCGTGGAAGAAGAGCTGAGCACCCTACTGGTTCTGCAGCTGCATCAGCTTCTCGGCCCGCTCGAACAGCTCCCGGAAGTAGCGGGAGAAGCGCCCCAGGCCCACATCCCCCCTGTCGAAGTAGTAGCTCATGGACAGGTACACGTACGAGGTGCTGAGCTCCAGGTGGATTTGCGTGTTGATGGCATCCTCGCAGTCAGCAGCGAGGTTCTGGTGCACAGAGGACCGTGGCACTGGCAGAGAAGCTGACATGGCGGTCGCCCGGGGACTCCTGGAAAGCAGCGAAGCTGAGGCCCTGAACGGACGGCTGGCTGTGCCTTGCACGGTGAAGGGTTCGCCAGGAGCCTCAGTGCGTGCGAGCTTCTTATATGCGGGGTGGGGCGTGACCATGTGCGCATGTCCGGGGACAGGGTCAGAGGTCAGATCTGCAGGGATCCGATGCGGAAGTCACCACAGCCCCAGAAAATGGCGGAGCCATTTCCGCACTTGCTAAAGAGTCCCTGGCAAGCAAAGCAGTTTTGTGCTGAGCGCCTGACTCCAGTTTTTTTTTAAATTTTTATTAGTGAAACACCATGAGGTACTCCAGTTTTTGCTTACTTTCACCATGTTTGGGCTTTACCTCTGGAGAATAAACATCTACAGTTTCTTTAAATTTCCCTTCCATATCCTATATTTCACTTGACAATTATAATGGAGGGTGAGTCCGTACCCCCACACGCTGGTGGTCTGTAACATCTCGGACTAAACCCCCCTCACACCTGCCTTCCTCCCAGCCCCCAGTGTTACCACCCCACCCTCTGCTTTCTGCTTTCCTACTTTCCCAGAGCCAGTAGGGCTGTGCTTTTCAAGTCAGTCACCACAGTCACAGGGATCCCAAATTCTCCACCACCTCTATATTGTTGCTAAGGGAAATATTTCCTTGCATTTTGCAGAGTTCCATCACTAGAAATTCTGCAAGAGCTCCCAGGCCTTGGTAGCGGGGGCGGGGACTCCTGGATACCCATTTTAATCTTAAAGGGAAAAAAAGCAGTTAGTACATAAAAAAATGATACTTTCTCTCAAACCATGTAACTTTATTGGAAAAAAACAGCAAAGATCACAAGGAAAACTGAACTCAACCTTAGGACAGGCAAAAGCAATGGGGCATATCAGGCAGAGTGACCCTGGGGAAGTATCCACCACACCCTGAGTCAGCCAAGACGGCAGTTCAGGCTCAATCCTTTCTGTCAGCTTCACACAGAAGCAAATGTTCAAGGATGTAATGGGACATAGGGGCATCTGGGGACGCCATCTTGTGCTGGCAGATGAAATGATAGGCTAGCTCCTTGATGGCCTGGACTTTCTGGAGAAGGAAGTGGCTCTCTAGGAATGCACAGTGGTGGTTTTCGTGCAGGTTACTCGCCATCTGGTGCAGACCAATGTACTCCTGATTGATGTTCTTCTTCAAGATAAAGGCATGCTCCTTGCCCTGTAGGCCACTCTTCCAGTCCTCTCAGGCTGGCTGCTGGATACAAGCAGGCAGAGGCAAGTCCCATGCAGGTTCTCCAGGTGCATCAGCTTCTCTGCCCGATCCCTAGCCTCAAGGCACAGATGCAGAAAGTAGCGGGAGAAGTGCATCAGCATCATGTCTTCTGCCTGAAGAAGTAGCCCATCGCTTAAAACACGTAGGATGCATTGAACTTCCCACTGATATGGCTGCTATTGGTAGCGTCGCACTGCAGAGCATAGTTCTGGAGAATTTCAGACAGTTGCAGGGTCACCATGGCAGAGGTACAGGCACTGTTGGGAGGAACAGGTGACAGGGTGGCTAAGATGCTGAAAGGCAGGTTTGATGTCTCCCTGTGTCTGCCCTATGAACGTTTTGTGAGCAAGTGGGTGGGCTGTATCGTTTATAGAGCTTGTGAGGCAGGGGGCTAGGCTCAGGTGAAGTGTGTGTGTATGTCAAAGGTGAGCGTCAGGGCTAAACCCTATGGGCAGCCCAATGGACCTACCTGGAAGCCCCTACATTTTCAGATGAGGATGGTAAATCGTGAGCACTATGGATTTCATCTGAGAATTCATGAAGTGGAGCAATTCTGTGTGGAGCAGGGCATGTGTACTTCCCAGACTTCATGTACTGTTATTACTTAGATTCTGAAATATAAATTTAGGCTTTAAGGAATATTTACAATTCTTTACACACAAAGTATAAATAGTATGTATGTTGTTTTGCAGGAGGCCTTCAATACATAATCTTTTTGAGGCTGATGGACTGGATCAAAATCATCTTCTGCCCCTTCAAATCAGACCTTTTTGTTTAATTAGGTCCAATTTAGTACCCTTCTCTGTACCCCTGAATGAAATACACCATCTGACTTTGTGTGTTAGCATATGTCAGTGTTTGTGACTAGCGTGTGTATATATTTCATTTTGGCAAAACAGCAGACAATGCTCAAGCTTCTTATCCCCGGATTCCTGATATCTTATCAGCCCAGGAGGGCTTGCTGGACCTATTTAATGTGAGCCACATGGAATGCAAACATTCTACCTGCTTTATTATCGCTCCAACCACAACCACCCCACCTCATATTACTAAAGTGATACTTACCTTGCACATTTAATTTCCGTAGACTTTTCTCCTGGCCTCACAATCTTAATCCAGGTGGGGACTTGGTGGAAGTCAGTGTTCTCCAGATACTGCCTCAAAAATGTTAAGGGAGAATGGATGAATCTAACATCCAGGGGAATTATTAAAACAAAAATTACATTAACGCTTGCAACAAAAAATGTCTTGAAAATAACTAAACCAAACAGTGACAAAAACCATACTGCAACAGGCAAGCAAAGTAAAGTGACCAGGGGAAGTCCCCTGAACCACAACTATATGGGGAAGGCAGTGTAGACTCAGTCCTTTTTGTCTCCATCACCATCAAGACCAGTCTTGTGGTCAAAGAGGTACTCTTCCGGAACAGCCATCTTATGCAGGGTGGAGACATGCTCCTCCAGCTCCCTGAGACACTGGTCTTGCTGAGGAAGGACTTGATTTTCCAGGTAGTAGCACAGGTAGCCATCCTGCATATTGGTGGCCAGCTGGTACAGATCGCACAGGCCGTCATTGACGATCTTGTACAGAATCAAGGCAAAGTCCATGGCGTTCAGGCAGCCCTCCCAGGCATCTTTGTGGGGCTTCTGGATGTCATGGAAGTAGAGCTGAGCGCCCCGCCGGTTCTGCAGCTGCATCAGCTTCTCGGCCCGCTCGAACACCTCTCCGAACAGCTCCCGGAAGTAGCGGGAAAAGCGCCCCAGGCCCACATCCCCCCTGTCGAAGTAGTAGCTCATGGACAGGTACACGTATGAGGTGCTGAGCTCCAGGTGGATTTGCTTGTTGATTGCATCCTCGCAGTCAGTGGCGAGGTTCTGGTGTACAGAGGACTGTGGCACTGGCAGAAAAGCTGACATGGCGGTGGCCCGGGGACTCCTGGAAAGCAGCGAAGCTGAGGCCCTGAACGGACGGCTGGCTGTGCCTTGCACGGAGAAGGGTTCGCCAGGAGCCTTCAGTGCGTGCGAGCTTCTTATATACGGGGTGGGGCGTGACCGTGTGCGCATGTCAGGGGACAGGGTCAGGGGTCAGATCTGTGAGGATCTGATGCGGAAGTCGCCACAGCCCCAGAAAATGGCGGAGTCAGCTCTGCACTGAAGAGGTTTGCTAAAGAGTCCCTGGCAAGCAAAACAGTTTTTTGCTGAGCGCCTGACTCCAGTTTTTTTTAAACCTTTTATTAGTGAAACACCAATGAGGTACTCCAGTTTTTACTTACTTTTACCATGTTTGGGCTTTACCTCTGGAGAAAAAACATGAACAGTTTCTGTAAATTTCCCTTCTGTTTGCTATATTTCACCTGAGAAATATAATGGAGGCATGGGCCACGCCCCCACGTCCTGGTGCTCTGTAGCAACTTGGAATGAACCCGCCTCAAAACTACCTTTACTGGCCCAGGTCCATTGGATTACCACCCCACCTCTTCTGTCCCCATCCCAGCTTTTCCAAAGCCAGTAGGTGTATGCTTTTCAAGTCAGTCAATGCAGTCACAGGGATCCCACCCTCCCCAGCCCCTCCATTTTGTTACTAAAGGAAACACTTCCTTGTGCTTTGCAGAGTCCCATGGACTAGAAATTCTGCAAGAGCTCCCAGGACTTGCAGGCGGGGGCGGGGACTCCTGGACACCCATTTTAAGCTTAAAGGGTGAAAACGGTTAGTACATTAAATAATGATACTTTCTCTCAAACTACGTAACTTTATTGGAAAACAACACAAAAGATCATGAGTATAACTGAAGTTAAAATTAGGGCAGGCAAAAATATGACATATCTAGCAGATTGTCCCCAGAAATATCCACCGCACCCTGAGTCCTTTCTCTTGCCTTAACTCAGAATGAAATGTTCAAAGAGTCATTGGACATTGATGTGTCTGCTGATGCCATCTTGCCATGGTGGTGAGATGGCCGGCTAGCTCCTCGATATTCTGGTCTTTCTGGAGCAGAAAATCGCTCTCCAGGAGAGCATGAATGGCCGTCCTGCAGGTTACTGTCCAGCCGGTGCATATAGAGCAGGCCCCTAATTGATGTTCTTCTCCAGGAAAAAGCCATGCTCCTTGAATCCCAGTCTTCCCAGGGTGTCTTCTGGATAGGGCCAAGACAGAGGCAGGCCACAGACAGGTTCAGCATGTGCATCAGTTTCTCTGCTTGATCCCTAGCCTCTAGAGACAGACGCAGAAAGTAGCAGGAGATTCGATGTATCAGCACCAAGCTGTCCTGCCTGAAGAAGTAGCCCATCGACTGGAACAGTAGGACACCCCATTGATTTGTCAGCAGTCGCTAACCTTGCACGGCAGAGCATTGTTCTGGAGAATTTCAGACAGCTGCATGGTTGCAGTGGCAGAGGTACAGGCACTGTTGGGAGGAACAGGTGACAGGTGTGGCTAAGATGCTAAAGGCAGCTTTGATCTGCCCCTGTGTCTGCCCTATGAAGTTTTTGTGAGAATCCGGATGTGGGTGGGCTGTCTTGTTTATAGGGCATGTAGGTGGGGAGGGCTGGGCTCAGGTTATATGCATGTGTATGTCATGGGTGAGGGTGGGGATGCATCCTGTGGGGAGCCCACTGGGACCCAAATGGAAGCCCCTTTATTTTCAGATTTAAGTTGTGAGCATTGTGGGTTTCTTCCGAGCCTTCATGAAGTGGAGCTGTTCTGTGTGGAGAAGGGCATGTGTACTTCCCAGATTTCATGTACTGATCTTAATTAGCTTCTGAGGTATAAATTACAATTATACATATATTTAAATTTTTATACTACACACAAACTATAAATCACATGTGTATTGTGTTGTGGGAGGCTTTTAATGCCTAATATTTTTGAGGCTGCTATCAGCACTGGATCAAAATCGTCCTCTGCCCATTCAGATAAGAAAATTTTCGTTGATTCAGCTCCTAACTTGTACCTTTCCCTTACCCAGAATGAAACCCACCCTCTACCTGTGTGTGGGTTTGTGTGAGTCTTTGTAATGTATGTGTGTTTATTTCAGTTGTGATAACAGCACACTGTTCTGGCTTATTATTCCTGATTTCTAATATCATACCACTCTTGGAGGGCTTTTTATACCTATTGAGCATGAGCTTCATGCAAGTACACTAACTGTTTTATTATAGCTCCACCCCAACTGTCCATGACCACAATTCTTCTACGGTGATTCTTACCTTACTACTATTATTATCATTATATATTATTAATTTATTCCTAAAGTTTTGATATCATATCACCCCTGGAGGGCTTGTTTGACATATTTAACCCGAGCTGCATGCAATGCGAGTACTCTACCTGTTTTATCATAGCTCCACCCGCACCCTCCATGACCACAGTTTTTCTAAAGTGATACTTACCTTACACTTTCAGTTTCTATAGACTTTTCTCCTGTCCTCAAAATCTTAATCCAGGAGGGGACTGGGTGGAATTCAGTATTCTCCAGATACCACCTCAAAAATGTTAAGGGGAGAGTGGATGAATCTAACATCCAGGGGAATCATTAAAACAAAAATTACATTAACGCTTGCAACAAGAAAGTCTTTGAAATTAACTAAACCAAACAGTGACAAAAACCATACTGCAACAAGCAAGCAAAGTAAACTGACCAGGGGAAGTCCCCTGAACCACAACTATATGGGGAAGGCAGTGTAGACTCAGTCCTTTTTGTCGCCTTCACCATCAAGACCAGTCTTGTGGTCAAAGAGGTACTCTTCCGGAACAGCCATGTTATGCAGGATGAAGACATGCTCCTGCAGCTCCTTGAGACACTGGTTTTGCTGAGGCAGGATTTGGGTCTCCAGGTAGGAGCACAGGTAGCCATCCTGCATATTGGTGGCCAGCTGGTACAGATCGCACAGGCCGTCATTGATGATCTTGTGCAGAATCAAGGCAAAGTCCATGGCGTTCAGGCAGCCCTCCCAGGCATCTTTGTGAGGCTTCTGGATGTCGTGGAAGAAGAGCTGAGCGCCCCGCTGGTTCTGCAGCTGCATCAGCTTCTCAGCCTGCTCGAACACCTCTCCAAACAGCTCCCGGAAATAGCGGGAAAAGCGCCCCAGGCCCACATCCCCCCTGTCGAAGTAGTAGCTCATGGACAGGTACACGTACGAGGTGCTGAGCTCCAGGTGGATTTGCGTGTTGATGGCATCGTCGCAGTCAGCAGCGAGGTTCTGGTGCACAGAGGACAGTGGCACTGGCAGGAAAGCTGACATGGCGGTGGCCCGGGGACTCCTGGAAAGCAGCGAAGCTGAGGCCCTGAACGGACGGCTGGCTGTGCCTTGCACGGAGAAGGGTTCGCCAGGAGCCTTCAGTGCGTGCGAGCTTCTTATATACGGGGTGGGGCGTGACTGTGTGCGCATGTCTGGGGACAGGGTCAAGGGTCAGATCTGCGGGGATCCGATGCGGAAGTCACCACAGTCCCAGAAAATGGCGGAGGCAGCTCCGCACTTGAGAGGCTTGCTAAAGAGTCCGTGGCAAGCAAAGCAGGTTTGTGCTGAGCGCCTAACTCCAGTTTTTTTTTTAAATTTTTATTAGTGAAACACCATGAGGTACTCCAGTTTTTGTTTACTTTCACTTTGTGTGAGCTTTACCTCTGGAGAAGAAACTTACAGTTTCTGTAAATTTCCCTCCCGTTTCCATTTTTCACTTGAGAAATACAATGGGGTTTGGGGAAGCTCCCCCACAAGCTGGTGCTCTGTAACATCCAGGACTGAACACCCCCCTCAAAGCTGCCTCTAGCCCAGCCCCACTGGATTTACACCCACCCTCTGCTATCCCCTTCCCTTCTTTCCCAGGGCCATTAGGGATGTGCTTTTCAAGTCAGTCACCATAGTCACAGGGATCACAAATCCCCCACCACCTCTATATTGTTGCTAAGGGAAATATTTCCTTGCATTTTGCAGAGTTCCATCACTAGAAATTCTGCAAGAGCTCCCAGGCCTTGGTAGCGGGGGCGGGGACTCCTGGATACCCATTTTAATCTTAAAGGGAAAAAAAGCAGTTAGTACATAAAACAATGATACTTTCTCTCAAACCATGTAACTTTATTGGAAAAAAACAGCAAAGATCACAAGGAAAACTGAACTCAACCTTAGGACAGGCAAAAGCAATGGGGCATATCAGGCAGAGTGACCCTGGGGAAGTATCCACCACACCCTGAGTCAGCCAAGACGGCAGTCCAGGCTCAATCCTTTCTGTCAGCTTCACCCAGAAGCAAATGTTCAAGGATGTAATGGGACATAGGGGCATCTGGGGACGCCATCTTGTGCTGGCAGATGAAATGATAGGCTAGCTCCTTGATGGCCTGGACTTTCTGGAGAAGGAAGTGGCTCTCTAGGAATGCACAGTGGTGGTTTTCGTGCAGGTTACTCGCCATCTGGTGCAGACCAATGTACTCCTGATTGATGTTCTTCTTCAAGATAAAGGCATGCTCCTTGCCCTGTAGGCCACTCTTCCAGTCCTCCCAGGCTGGCTGCTGGATACAAGCAGGCAGAGGCAAGTCCCATGCAGGTTCTCCAGGTGCATCAGCTTCTCTGCCCGATCCCTAGCCTCAAGGCACAGATGCAGAAAGTAGCGGGAGAAGTGCATCAGCATCATGTCTTCTGCCTGAAGAAGTAGCCCATCGCTTAAAACACGTAGGATGCATTGAACTTCCCACTGATATGGCTGCTATTGGTAGCGTCGCACTGCAGAGCATAGTTCTGGAGAATTTCAGACAGTTGCAGGGTCACCATGGCAGAGGTACAGGCACTGTTGGGAGGAACAGGTGACAGGGTGGCTAAGATGCTGAAAGGCAGGTTTGATGTCTCCCTGTGTCTGCCCTATGAACGTTTTGTGAGCAAGTGGGTGGGCTGTATCGTTTATAGAGCTTGTGAGGCAGGGGGCTAGGCTCAGGTGAAGTGTGTGTGTATGTCAAAGGTGAGCGTCAGGGCTAAACCCTATGGGCAGCCCAATGGACCTACCTGGAAGCCCCTACATTTTCAGATGAGGATGGTAAATCGTGAGCACTATGGATTTCATCTGAGAATTCATGAAGTGGAGCAATTCTGTGTGGAGCAGGGCATGTGTACTTCCCAGACTTCATGTACTGTTATTACTTAGATTCTGAAATATAAATTTAGGCTTTAAGGAATATTTACAATTCTTTACACACAAAGTATAAATAGTATGTATGTTGTTTTGCAGGAGGCCTTCAATACATAATCTTTTTGAGGCTGATGGACTGGATCAAAATCATCTTCTGCCCCTTCAAATCAGACCTTTTTGTTTAATTAGGTCCAATTTAGTACCCTTCTCTGTACCCCTGAACGAAATACACCATCTGACTGTGTGTGTTAGCATATGTCAGTGTTTGTGACTAGCGTGTGTATATATTTCATTTTGGGAAAACAGCAGACAATGCTCTAGCTTCTTATCCCCAGATTCCTGATATCTTATCAGCCCAGGAGTGCTTGCTGGACCTATTTAATGTGAGCCACATGGAATGCAAACATTCTACCTGCTTTATTATCGCTCCAACCACAACCACCCCACCTCATATTACTAAAGTGATACTTACCTTGCACATTTAATTTCCGTAGACTTTTCTCCTGGCCTCACAATCTTAATCCAGGTGGGGACTTGGTGGAAGTCAGTGTTCTCCAGATACCGCCTCAAAAATGTTAAGGAAGAATGGATGAATCTAACATCCAGGGGAATTATTAAAACAAAAATTACATTAACGCTTGCAACAAAAAAAGTCTTTGAAATTAACTAAACCAAACAGTGACAAAAACCATACTGCAACAGGCAGGCAAAGTAAAGTGACCAGGGGAAGTCCCCTGAACCACAACTATATGGGGAAGGCAGTGTAGACTCAGTCCTTTTTGTCTCCATCACCATCAAGACCAGTCTTGTGGTCAAAGAGGTACTCTTCCGGAACAGCCATCTTATGCAGGGTGGAGACATGTTCCTGCAGCTCCTTGAGACACTGGTCTTGCTGAGGAAGGACTTGGTTCTCCAGGTAGTAGCACAGGTAGCTATCCTGCATATTGGCGGCCAGCTGGTACAGATCGCACAGGCCGTCATTGATGATCTTGTGCAGAATCAAGGCAAAGTCCATGGCGTTCAGGCAGCCCTCCCAGGCATCTTTGTGGGGCTTCTGGATGTCGTAGAAGAAGAGCTGTGCGCCCCGCCGGTTCTGCAGCTGCATCAGCTTCTCGGCCCGCTCGAACACCTCTCCGAACAGCTCCCGGAAGTAGCGGGAGAAGCGCCCCAGGCCCACATCCCCCCTGTCGAAGTAGTAGCTCATGGACAGGTACACGTACGAGGTGCTGAGCTCCAGGTGGATTTGCGTGTTGATGGCATCGTCGCAGTCAGCAGCGAGGTTCTGGTGCACAGAGGACCGTGGCACTGGCAGAGAAGCTGACATGGCGGTGGCCCGGGGACTCCTGGAAAGCAGCGAAGCTGAGGCCCTGAACGGACGGCTGGCTGTGCCTTGCACGGAGAAGGGTTCGCCAGGAGCCTTCAGTGCGTGCGAGCTTCTTATATACGGGGTGGGGCGTGACCATGTGCGCATGTCTGGGGACAGGGTCAGGGGTCAGATCTGCGGGGATCCGATGCGGAAGTCACCACAGTCCCAGAAAATGGCGGAGGCAGCTCCGCACTTGAGAGGCTTGCTAAAGAGTCCGTGGCAAGCAAAGCAGTTTTGTGCTGAGAGCCTGACTCCAGTTTTTTTTTTTTAATTTTTATTAGTGAAACAGCATGAGGTACTCAGTTTTTGCTTACTTTCACCATGTTTGGGCTTTACCTCTGGAGAAAAAACATGTACAGTTTCTGTAAATTTCCCTTCCGTTTCCTATATTTCACCTGAAATTATAATGGACGGTGGGGCCACCACCCACAAACTGATGCTCTGTAACAACTTGGACTAAACCCGCCTCAAACCTACCTTCTCTGGCCCAGGTCTGTTAGATTTCCACCCTACCTATTCTGTCCCCTTCCCTGTTTTGCCCAAGCCAGTAGGATTGTTCTTTTCCAGTCAGTCACCATAGTCACAGGGATCCCGAATCCCCCACCATCTCCATATTGTTACTAAAGAAACGTTTCCTTGTGCTTTGCAGAGTCCCCTGAACTAGAAGTTCTGCAAGAGCTCCCAGGACTTGCAGGCGGGGGCGGGGACTCCTGCACACTCGTTTTAAACTAAAAGGGAAAAGCGGTTACTACATAAAATAATGATACTTTCTCTCAAACCATGTAACTTTGTTTGAAGAAACAGTAAACATCATGGGGAAAAGTGAACTCAAACATAGCTGCAGGCAAAAGCAATATCCAGCAGAATGTCCCTCGGAAATATCTACCGCACCCTTAGTCAGCTGAGAAGTCAGTCCACGCTCAGTTCTTTCTCTTGCCTTAACACAGAATCCAATATTCATAAATGTCTGTGGGCATGCCAGCTTCCAGGAACCCCATTTTGCCCTGTGTGGCAAGATGATTCCCAGTTCCTGGATGGCCTGGACTTTCTGGAGCAGGAAGTGGCTCTCTGGTATTGTACAGAGATGGCATTCATGTAGGTTGCTTTCTAGCTGGTACAGAGCAAGTTACCCCTGATTGATGTTCTTCTCCAGCATCAAGGCGTGCTCCATGGCCTCAAGGCCACTTTCCCAGGCCTCCCAGCATGGCTGCTGGATAGGGCACAGGCAGAATCAGGCCCTATGGAGGTTCTGCAGGTCCATCAGCTTCTCTGGTGATTTTCAGCCTCAAGGGACAGTTGCAGAATGTGGAGGGAGAAGTGTGTCAGTATCATATCATCCCATCTGAAGAAGTAGCCCATCACCTGAAACATGTAGAACAGGTAGAACTGCCTGTTGATCTGTCTGCTGGCAGCAGCCTCAAACTGGTGACCTATTTCTGGAGAACTTCAGACAGCTGATGGGTTGCCACGGAAGAGGTACAGGCACTGTTGTGAAGAAAAGGTGACAGTGGTATGTGGGGCATGTTTGAAGCATCCCTGTCTCTGCCTTGTCAAGGTTTTGAGAAGATCAGGAAGTGGGTGAGCTGACTCTCTTACAGGGTGTGTGGGGCAGGGGGTGGGAGGGTGGGCGCAGGTGACTTCTGTGTTTATTTCAGTGGTAAGCGTCAGAGGTCAACAGCATGGCCAGCCCAACAGACCCATTCCGAAGCCCTGGCATTATCAGATGAGGATGGTGCATCATAAGCATTGTGGGTTCCTTCTGAGCTTGCATGAAGCAGAGCTACTCCATGTGGAGCTCTAGCATGGCTGCTTTCCATTCTGGATATTATATGCTCAGTTAGCTTCTGAGATATGAATTTAGACTTTTTGGTATATTTTTGGTTTTTTTTATTACAAAAATATGCAGCCGAAGACCTCCAGAACCAGCCACAACCATACTGAGACCACTCCCCACACGCATGAAGGAACCAGCAGAGGAACATAGGCATGCGGGTCCCGGGTCTGAGTTCTCCAAGCCTGCTCGGATTGGGCCTGAGCATCCTCCACCCAGATCCTCCATCTTCTGGTAGGCAGGGGTCACACCCACCAACTGCCCCTGGCGCCAGGTAATCCCATCAACAGCCAAGACCCAGAGACTATAAAACCCAGCTCCCGGAAGCGCAGGGCCGCATTTGCGGCACACGACATCTTATTATCTCATTCTTACTTTTGACAACCTGGCAGGCTACCAAATGTAACCTGCCCACACGGCAAAGTCTGGCAAACTCCCCTTGGGGTACCCAATATGCAAAATACCAGTAACAGTGATGGGTCTCATTATCCTAACCCTGAAAGAGCCTTGAATATGGCACTTTTTAAAATCTCAGGGCTAGGACGAAGGAGACATTACTGGTGCCTGCTCAAGGCAATTGATGAACAACAGGATGATCATGATCGTGATACAAAAATATAAATTACATGTGTGTTGTGTTTTGGAAAGGCTTTTAGTGCCAAATCTTTTTTGAGGACGATGTCAGCATTGTACCAAAATCATCCTCTGCCCCTCCAGATAATACGTATTTCATTTAATCACTGCCTAATTCAGTACTTTTCTCTGTATTCCTAGAGTGAACTTCAATTTTGATTTACATGTCCTCCTTTTATTGTTTCTATGCAGGGAAACCAACCCTCTACCACTGTTTGTGTTTGTCTGTATTTGTGATGTGTGTGAATTTGGATTACGGGCCACACTGGACAATGCTCAGGACTTATTTCTGCCTTTCTGTTCTCATTTTACTCTGGAGGGCTTGCCGAACCATAAAGAATGCAAGAGTGTAGAATTAACGTGAGCTGCATGCAAGGCAAGTACTCTACCTGCTTTTTTATTGCTCCACCCACTCCTCATGGTATATTTTTTCTAAGGTAGTAATTACATTGCACTTTCAGTGTCCCATAGACTTTTCTCCTGTCCTCACAAATCCTATGTCAGGTAGGAAGGATCTTGATTGGAAGTTGTGGTGCTCTCCAGATACCACCTCAAAATAATTAAGGGGAGGGGTGGTGATAAATCTCACAATGAGATTTATTAGGAACTAAAATTATCTTTAACTTTTGAAACAAAAACTTTTGTTAGTAACTGTTCCGAACATTGGTACAAACAATACTGCAACACGCAGGTCCAGCACAGTAACCAGGGGAAGTCCATGAAACCCAAATACATGGAGAAGACAGTCCAGAATCAGTCCTTGTTGTCACCATCAGCATCATGCTGGATCTTGTCAAAGAGACACTCTTCCGGAGCAGCTATGTTACACAGGATGAATACATGATCTGCTTGCTCCTCAATGGACTGGTCTTGCGGGGGCATGACGTGATTCTCCAGGTAGGTGCACTGGTAGCCATGATGCAGGTCGGTGACCAGCTGGTGTATATCGAGCAGACCGTCATTGATGGTCTTGTGCAGAATCAAGGCAAACTCCATGGCATTCAGGTCGTCCACCCAGTCATCTTTGTGGGGCTTCTAGATGTGGTGTAAATACTGCTGAGAGCCCCCACTGTTTCTGCAGCTGCGTCAGCTTCTTGGCCTGCTTGAACATCTCACGGGACAGCTCCCAGAAGTAGCAGGAGAAGCGCTTTGGCCATTTCTTCCTTGT